TTATTTATCATGCGATTAATTGATTTGTTGTTTATCGTGACAGGCCTAGTTCCAGGCACTCATTTGAAGCTCAGAAGTGACAGGACTTTCTCTGTTTCAGGTCCAAAACTGTGGAATGAGTTACCACTGCGTGTCAGCCAGTCTCCCACTCATTGTTTTTAAGTCTCATTTAAAAACTCACTTTTATTCTCTGACTTTTGACACTATATGAGTGGATTTTAACTTGTCTGTATTCTATAATGTTAGTTAATTAGTTCTTATCTTTATCTCTGTGGATCAGTGTATTTTATCCTGTGTCGTTTGTTTGTTTTGTTTTGTTGCACATCACTTTGGTTGGCCTTGTTGCTGTTTTAAGTGCTTTATAAATAAAGTTGTATGGTATGGTGTAGTCTGCACGCTGGTGCAGCGGTCAGTGATGCTGCCTCACAGTAAAAGTATCAGATTTAGTAGTGGTCTTCCTGTGCGGAGTTTGTGTGTTCTCCTTCTGTATGTGTGAGTTTTCTCCAGGAACTCGTGCATAAAAACACGCACGGTCGCTCGTTTTGTCCGTCCCTACGTGGCCCTGCGACGGTCTGCTGACGTGCTCTGGAGCAACTGCAGCAGAGAAGCAAAGATGCACACGTTGCTTAAAGCAACAAGTAGGACCTTCTGACGTGAGGTTTAGTGTAAAGTTAATAATTGAGGCTGGTCTGAGCCGAGTCAAGACCAAAATAGATCCTAAAACAACGTCAGTCTCAGAAATGTCAAAGTGGACCGCAGCAAAATATGAATCACGTATTTATTTAGTCAACACTAGTACAATATTCCTGCTGGAAGTGCTCCAGGGCTGCACCAGAGTGCTACAGCTAGCTGCTTCCGCTGTGTGTACTTCCAAATAACCATAAATGTAAATACCAAGCCATATGAAAACAAAAGCAGTGTAAACATTTATGAAATTCATAAACTGGACTGTTTTGTTATGGTCGCAGGACCTCGCTCGGACTAGTCACTAGCTGGTTGATCCTGACAAAATTAAAACCCTCTTCCTCCAAACTGTTCCGAGAGCTATCTGCAACATGTAAGACACTGATTGTTCAACACCTTTTTTTCTTCTTCTGAACCCTAGTTAAAAAGATCTGGTGAAAAATCCTGTTCCAATCAAATCAGAATTTTTTTTATTTTTTTTTTACAAGGAACTTAGAAATATGAACTTCCAAGTATGATAGAACACATAAAAACTTATGGTGCATCATGGGAAATGTAGGATCCTGTTCTGCAGCTTAACAAACATTTGACGTAAGCGTTTCTGTTTTCCTGCTTCCACTTGCAGATTTTCAACATTGATCTGTTTTCATTTTGAACCCTCTCAATTACAAACATGTAAATCATTCAGCTCCTTCATTCAGTCCAAGAAAAACAACATAAACAAGTAAATAAATGCCAGCATGCACTTCCGTAGCGCAGCCTGCTAGTTTCCCGTTCCTCTGTGACAGTATGTCGCCTGGTTTCTGTTCCAAACGTAAACAGCTGATCGGCCATACACAGCTTTAAACTGTACGTTGTGTTTTAGTCCCTGTGATGTTTACCAATTAGTCTGAATCAGAAAATATCTGAGTCTGTGACGTTTTACCAGCGACGAGCAGCAAGCGAGGCCCAGATGCTTTGTCTGATGAAGCTAACAGAAGTTTCTCTGATCTCTCTCTTTAAGTGTGTGTGTGTGTGTGTGTGTGCGCGCGTACACACATGCGTGCGCAGTTGTTCATTATTTCTGTGTCCTGCTCCTGGCACGCTGCACAGGCAGCCTGGCAGCCAATTGCTCCCATGACCCCGTAGTCTTGCCACGCTAACAAGCTAGCGACCGCACAAACTGTCACCGAGCTGGCCCAGCAGCACGTGCACGTGCACACAAACAGAAAAAAAAAAAAAAACAAGCAAAGGAAAACAGGTCTACTCCTCTTTCAGGGGAGTAAAAACAATAATATATCCTCCGAAGCTGCTAGTCCTCGTGGATTACCTGATGGTGCTAATTATCGCTCATAACCATTAAGAAGTGTTGAGATTTGTGTAAAGACAAGACAATTCCCAGATTATCACCCGGTCTTCTCTAAAAGTGGGTTTTCCCACGGCAGAGCAGCAGGAGGAGCAGGAGGAGCAGAGCACAGCTGAGCAGGAGACGGCACGCTTAATGACGATGATCACCTGCTGCACCTCAGAGCTTTCCATTCAGGTAACGAATCACCTCCGGAGCCGGAGGAGGCAGGAGCCCTCCTCCTCCTCCTCCTCCTCCGCTCCACATCCTTCACTCGCAGCAGCACCACCACCAGAACAGATGTCTGCTGTAACCCAGTAGCTCCCTTCGCTGTAGACACATGGAGGTGCCATCTGGAGCAGAACGCCGCTCCTCTCCAGATCGGGGCGTGCGCTCGTGTGTGCGCTCGTGTGTGCGCAGATGCAAATCAGAGGAAGAGCTCAGACTGAGCTGTCTGTGTGCGTCTGCGTGACATTTGTGAACAGTGAGTGTGCAAGTCTTGGAGACAGACGGCGCCTCGTGCACTGACGGCACACCTGAGTGCTTTTAGGAGCGTTTGTTTGGATCCGATGCTGTGTTTCATCCCTGCGCTGCGTTTCGTACACGGAGGAGTCCAGCCTTTAGGCAGAGCACGTCTCTGAGCAGCTCTGGATGCAGTGTTAGTAAAACATCCACTCTGCTGCGTCTTTCATTACAACAAACACGTAAACCAGCTCGCTGAATGTTTCTGACAGTTCCACATCCCATCAGCACCACGTTGGACCACAACGACCAATATAACAGCCAAAAAAACCTCAAAGGACCATTCCAGCCTTTTAAAGTGAGGTTCTATGGAAAGCTTGCGAACAACAATATCTTACCTGTTATACGAATAATGTTTTTCTAAAACCTCATTCTGTGGAAACAGTTTAATTCTGACAGGACGGATGAGCTAAGGGTCGAGATCAAAGAGGACTCTTGAAACAACAGCCGGTTTTAAAAGGTCAAATCAGGCCACACAAACATATTGTTCTTTCTGTAAGATTTGATGGTTTTTCACGAGTGCAAATATAGCAGTAGCAGTCAGCTGTGTCACTTCTGGTAGAGTCTGTGGTACTGTGGCAGAACGTTTCTGATGGAATACCCATACAATGTGAGAATGATGGGAAATAAAGGTTTACATTTTTGTTTTTGCAGGAACTGCAATCCACCTCATCCCTGGGGTCTGCACTGTACAAATGATTATACAACTTCCTGTCAGACAGGAAGTAGCAGTAAGCATTGGTTAACCATAGTAGCAGAGCACGGACCACGGTTTATTTTAAAGTAATTTGCATTCAGTTTAGCAGATAAAACTCTGTTTTTGTTTTGTTCACATTTATTTAACAACCATAAAGTTTACTAAACTAGCCGTGCTGAGTTCAGGTACCTGTTGTGTTCACGGCTGCAGGAACAACCAGACCAAACTAAATCAGTGGCTACAACAACTACTTTGTGTCTGGTCTACAATAAACCACCAGAGAAGAGACGCCGGATCCTCAGAAGGATTGAAGACAGTGACAAGAACATCAGGTATGATTTCTAGTGTATGGAGGTCATAGCATTGTCGTATTTGTTCCTCTTCAGTTTTATGATTTTCTCTGTAATTAACCGCAGCTCTGTGATGGAGGACTTTAAGGCTTTGACTGGGCTCTGTGTCTGTTTCAAGGTCAATAAGATTGTGTCCCACCTCTTTTAACAAAACACCACTGACTTTATTACTGTGTAGATACTGATACACCTCAGAGCTTTTCAGGTTGTACATCACTTCACCGTCAGAAGCACGGAGTCAATGATGTAGCTAAATATGTTAGTAGATGTAGCTAAAGATGCTAGTAGATGTAGCTAAATACACTAGTAGATGTAGCTAAATACGCTAGTAGATGTAGCTAAATATGCTAGTAGATGTAGCTAAAGATGCTAGTAGATGTAGCTAAAGATGCTAGTAGATGTAGCTAAA